GCCCGAGAACCTTCATGATGGCACCACCTCAGGACATAAACTTTCCGCTGCTGTGAATTGAATGTCCCCCTGAAACTCAATGTTTCTTGAGCCCCACTGTGACACTGTTAAAGGGTGGGAAATCTGACTGTGGCAGTGTTGAAAGGTGGGGCCTGCAAGAGGTGACTGGATCGGGAGAGCTGTGCCCCTGTGAGCGGATCGATCCGTCCTGGAGTGAGGGTTGACGGTTTAGTAGGTGGTCACAGGAGTGCTTCCGATGGCTTCATAAGCAGCCCATGAAACACCTCTCTAGCTCTTGCCCTCCTTGCCATGTGGTGCCCTGGTCGCTACCCAGATGAATAAGGCCCTCACCAGACGCACCCCTGGACCGCGGGCTTCCTAGCCTCCCAAACTGCAGGGAATACATTTCGTTTCTTTACAAATTACCGAGTTTTAGATATTCTGTTATCAGCAACAGAAACGGACTCACACGCTCTAACAAGCAGCCCTGCAGGATCTAATAAGTGGCCCTTCATTCTTCTCATGGGGCTTCTTATGATTTAGTTGTTTCTGGGGCGTCTGAGCTGCTAGGGGGATCCCGACTGGTGCCGTGTCCTGGTGGGGAGCGCCAGGCAGGATGGGGTCCAGCTGTGACACTGGGGAATCAAGAGCCTGGCTGGACAGAGCAGAGCAGAGGCTGGCCCAGGTGCAGGCTGGCGGGGACGTCACCAAAGGGAGGCAAAAGGGTGAAGGAGGCATTTGGTGGGCACCCGCCGAGGCTGGGGACCTGCAGGGTACCCACTCCCCATGTCCTTACAGGAGCCTCCAGTCCTGCTTCTTCCTCATGAGCGACCCTGGGACACCCTCGGCTGCTCAAAGTGGCAGGAGCTTTGGGGCGACAGGTTTCCCCGTCTTGGGGTCTTATTTGCAGGGGGGTGCCCTCCCTGGCAGAGGGGTCTGGTGGGCAGTGTCCCCCCACTCTTGCTGCCATATACAGGGTGGGTACGGTGGGGCCCCAGAGATGGAACTCACCGTCTTCTAACAGGTGTGGCTAGTCCTGGGGGGTCGAGTGCCCATTCTGAGCTGGGGCTGGGGCCCAGCTGTCTGAGCAGCTGAGCCTGGGGGGTTACCAAAGTGGGGAGAGCATTCGGGGGGACCGAGGTTCCCCCAGGAGAGGGGGACGTGGGTGCACCCCACCCAGTACCAGTCTACTTGCTCCCTCCCCTCCCCCACCGTGGGCAGGGATGGCACCAGGAGGAGGGACCAGAGACTCAGACCCAAATTTGACTTAGTCTCTGCTCATGTAGTGACCTTGGTGATCCATGTCACGCCTGGGCCTGTTTCCCGTCTATATAACGAAGTGAGAGGTGGCCATGTTCAGGCATACTCCATGGCCAGCAATGTTCCAGAATCTTCCAAGGACCAGTCTGTCCTGCTTGGGGTGGGGGAGGGCATGATAAGTTCACCTGAGGGAGCCAAGGTCAAAGCTCCCAATCTGGGAGGCAAAATGGGAAGGTTCCAGGTCCAGCGAGGGCCACTCAGTGGGTGTTGGGCAGGCAGCCGGGGACACACGGGTCAGGAGCTCAGGGCAGAGAGGGGTCGCCTGGTGGAGGTGGAGCTCCAGGCCCAGACAGAGCCTCCCCTGGCTCCCCCCATATGCAGAGGCGAGGCGGCTGAAGGGGGAGGGACCATGCCAAAGTCATGGCTGGAGGTCGGCCCCTCCCCATGCCCCACCTACACTCTGCCAGCTCTCTCTGTTCTTGACTCAGGAGCGGCTCTGTGCCCACTGTCCCCTCAGCCTCAGGTGGACCCCACACCTGGGCCCTCTCCAGTAGGGCTGCGCCATGGCTTATGGGGCTCTGGAAAGTTCTGGTGCTCCAGGCTGGGCCCTCAGCCCCAGCAGTGCCTCCTTGTTGGCCCAGCCCCTCAGGGCCCCCTACCTTGCCCTTGCCCTCGGTGCCAGGGCCTGGCCATGAGTTTGGTGCACAGTGGCTTTGCCTCTGCCCCGACCCTGTCAAAATGCACATGAGAGTCAAATGCACACAGGGCAGGGGCTGGTTCTGTGTCTGGGAAAAAGGAAAGGGTTCAAGGCGGACAGAATGGGCAGACCCGTGGAGGCTGCTGGGGCCAGGGGCTCCTGACCAACCTCCTGGGCTGGCCATGGGGCCGGGGCTCCCCATCTGGAATTCCAGCTCTATTCTGGGCCCAGCTGCCCAGGTCGCAGCTCTGACGACTGCAGGCTCCATCCTGCCCAGGTCCCCAGACGAACCCCAGCAGACCCAGGCCAGGAGACACTTGGGGCAGAGCCATGACTCACCCACCTCCACGTGAAGCCACCAGTGTCAGGACAGGCTTGTGTGAAGGGGCAGAGCCAAGTGACGTCCAGACTGGCCAGGCTTCCTGCTGGCCCAGGCCCAGGACCTCGGCTAAGCAGGTGCCATTGACACCCACCACGTGGCAGGAGCCTGGGGAGCAGCCGCGTGGCCATGCAGGAAGGAGGCTTCTGGTATCAGAGGACCATGTTCCAGGGGGAGGGACGGGGTGGGGCTCAGAGAACAGCAGATCCAGGACGTCCAGGACGAGGGCCGTGAGCTGCACCAGGGTGGCCAAGGGCAGTTCTGGGAGCCAGGACCACCTGGGAGCAGTTCTGGCACCTCGAGGGAGGGGCTGCCAGGGTGCTCCAGACCCACAGCTCTCCACAGGTTTCAGGAGCTCCTCTGGATGCTTCCCCAGGACCCAGAAGAACACATCTGACTTGGTCCCTGGCTTTGGGGTGAAACAGCAGGTGGCAGATCATGGGGATTGCGGGATGGGTCAGGGGCATGACAGAGCCGGGACGTGCAAGATCTGTAGGTGAGTCTGAGGTGGCTCCATGCGGTGCAGGGCTGCACCACAGTGGAGCAGCGGCCTGGGCTCACAGATGCCCCGCCTCTGCACTCGGTCCAGGGATGGGTGCCCAGGAAGGAGGTGGGGAAACTCTGGCAGGGGGGTTACCTATAATTCCTGACAGGGGCACTGCAGGGGCTTGGCCTACCAGAGCCTCCTGGGGAACATGGAAAGATGTCCTGTCCACCTCCCCTACACCACACTGCCCTTGCTCCTGCTAGGCTCCCTGGGGGGCCCTGGCCTGGCCTGCAGCCCCAGGTCAAGGGTGCCCAGGAGGTGGGCAGCTGGAGCTCAGAGCTGCCCATGGGGTCAGGGAGTAAGCCTGGCCCTGTCCCTGGACCCATCCTGGGTGTTGCCTCACGAGCCGGGGACCCAGGGGTTACTCTCTTCCTGGCACCCCGTGGTAGGCTGAGATATTTCAGCTGGGGCCCTCGGCTCAAGGTCCGGACGGGGCTGCGGGAAGTCTGCATCACAGCCACCTCCCCACTGCCAAGTGGGAGAAAGCCAGAGTGCAAGGCCGCCACAGACACCTCAGGCACTTCATGAACAGCCACACTCACAGTCCCCCACCAGACAGGCGGCCACAGCCTCCCACAAAGCTAATGACAACTGAGCCACTGGTTGCAACCATTCCACAAAAGGAGGCTCCCTGCCACCTTCAGCTTTGGGAAAGGTCATCCGCTCCACATAGGTCTCGGGAGGCCGGCTGGGCTTTGAGAGCTGGGCAGACCGATTACCATAAGAAAGTAATCCCCCGACACACTCAGACACACTCGTCAGCCAGAGCGGGACAGAGGCCCAACTTCAAGTCAATTTCACGCATGCAGTTCCTGCCCCACACAGCTCCAGCCCAGGGGAGTGGAGCCCTGGCACCCGATGGCTGAGCAGGGCAGGGTCACGTGTGGCAGGAGGCCCAGGACGGATGGACATCGGGTAGACATGCAGTCACCCACGTTCCTGGGCACTCAACTCCGTGTGGGACGCTGGAACCACTTCCCCTCCCAACAGCTTCTTGGAATGTCCCCTTTTCAGCAGCGTCGGCAGCTCCTAGAATGGATGGAGACAGATGCCCAGTGACCCTGTGCGTGGCACCAGATGAGACCCCATCCTGCAACATGAAGGGCCCAGGGACCCTGGCTCTTCACACTGTGTAGACTGGAGTGTGGATCCCTCCATCTGCAAGGCCGGCTGGCTGCCGCGGGAGCAGCTTCGTCCTGGAGAAGCACACGCGGGCCGGGGCCTCCCTGGGCCGTCGTCTCATTTCACCCACAACGCACCGTTCTTAACCTCCTTTCAACAACTGTATGAAAGCCATGGACAGGCTCGAAAGGACGTGGGCGTGTGAATGACCACATGGCCTCTTCTGTGCCTCTGGAGCCACCACCAGGGACAGAGCAGGTGCAGGGTCTGCAGACGGCAGAGGCCCGCGGGGCAACACTTCCTCCTCAGTCTGCTGTCGCCCCCATGCCCTGTCTCACCCGTGGTGTGGGGTCAGCTACCTGCGGACCCCGCCCTGCCCACTCGGCCAAGTCTAACAAGGCCCCTGGAGCTCGACAGACCAAATGCTGACCCGATCCTGCCCCGTGGCCGGCTGCTCCATGTCCTTGCCTCAGCAGTGGCGAGGCCCCCATCCCACCATGGCCACCGCAGGGCCTCGGCCGCCGCCTACGCCCTGCTCCCCTCGCTCGCACACGGCTGACCAGACAGACTGTGGAATCCCAGGAGGCCTCCGCCCTCGGCGATGAAGACGGTACCGCCACAAGGAAACTCGGAACTGCCATGAGGTCGCGGAGTCAGGCCCGACGGAGGCTGAGCTGCAGGACACGCTCCACACTGTGGACCCTGATGGCAGCCCTGCTGCCTTCCTAGAATTTTCAACAGCAACGGCTAGAAGNTGACACTGCTGCCCCTGCAGCCCTGCCCCATCCCAGTATGGGCCACAGCCCGCCTTCCAGGAGACCCGACGGGACCTTCCATCCAGCCGTGGCAGGTGATGAGACTGCCCTCCACAACCACCAGCTGCATAAGCAGTTAATTTCCCCTAAAACAAAAGGTACGTGGCAACACTCCAACAAGTTTTACATAGTTCTCAGACAAAAAAATTCAAGGGTATGAAAAACGTGCCATTTCTATGATTCCAGCTTCCTAGAAAATTTACTTTATTTACAGCATTTGAAAGTACGAATAGAAAAAGAATAAATATGCCATCATTCTACCCAGCCTGGGGCCCCACTGCATGTTCAGGGTCAGTGAGAAGCTCAGGAAGAAGACACAGGGTGTGACCAGGCAGTGTCCCCAACCAGCCAGGCACTGTCCTCCTCGCCAGCATCCTCTGCTTGTCATGCTGTGTTCATGTCACCATGCCGCCAGCAGACATGGGAAGTGGCTGCTCAGGGTGGAGCCGCACCAGCCTGGCTGACGGCTGCTTGACCTGTGGTGGGGAGTGAGGTGACACTGCACCCTCCGCAGATTACGCATCCAGTGTCCCCTCTCCACAGCCCCTCATGGTGGACGCGTGAATACCTAGAAAAGGGTCTTGCTAAAATGGGTATGAAGAGCTACCAATGAAGCGGAGTGTCTCAGATGAGGCTGGGAAGCTGGTGTGACCATCACTTCTATACTCTCTAGGCAGCAAGCGAGGGATCCACCCACGGCCACAGCCGGGCCCAGATGTGAGGACAGTGGAGCTGGGGCATCCTGTGGACAATCCAGGGGAGTTCCCATGTGAACAGGGGACAGACGCTGAGACGCGCCATGGAGCTCTTGGCACTGACGCAGGGAGAGGAGGGTCTCAATGGGCACCGCCACCCAGCGAGGCTCTGTGTGGCGGAGGCACCTTCTCCGTTCCCCGTGAGGACACAGGTCACATGTGGCCACAGGCTGGGGTGGGGCAGTGGGTGGGACCTGGAGGCCCTCTGATCTCCCCTCCAGATATCTGAAATAATGGAATGTGTGGAACAGCGCCAGCTCCAAGCAAAGCATCAGCGCCGCCCCCCCGAGAGGGCAGCTCGCCCGCCAGCACGTCCTCAACATGCTTAAAATGCGCAGCAAACAGGTGGTGAGAAAGGCCTGCAGGGTGGCATCTGGTGACACCTGCACTCTCGGGTCGTCCTGTGGGCCTCGCTATAGCTGAGTCACGGCTTCATGGATCCCTACTGAAAATGCCACAGCCCCCAGGGGCTGCAGCACCCAGGGACACACTGAAGCGAGCGGAGGGACAGTCCTGCTCACCAGAGCAACCCCGCGGCATCCACCTCACATCCAGCAGGCCCTGAGTGGCGCTGCCTCAGTAGGCGATCTTCCAGTGGGTGGGCTGCTCGCAGGCCTTCTCCTGGTCGCCACAGAACCTATTGTACGTTGTCGTTGGGTCCAACCCCAGAATTTCTCTTTCCTCATGAATCCGAAAAGAAAATGTCGAGACTGAGGTGCCGATAAAAAACCTGCAGTGACACACGGTCCCAGGGTTACACAGACCCACAGGTCACTTACCTGCACAATTAGTCCCACCCCATCCCTGCGAGGCTGTGCCCCTGTTGCACCACCCTGCGGGGCTCTGTGGCATTTCAGCAGCACCCCCCACCACGGGCTCATGGGGAACGTCCCTCCTGTCTATGGTCAAATGCCAGACACCAGGCACCACGGTGTGGGTGGAACACCGCCTAGAGAGCCACATCATAAACAAGGCTTCATATCCATCATGAGGCTCTTCTGGAAGTGGCAGTAGGGTCCTTGTCCTGATGGACGGCAGTGACATGGAGGCCAAGGGCTCCATTCACATGGGGATCCGCCCTCACCCCTGCCCCTCCTGGCTTCCTGTTCCTCTGAATCCTACGCAGCTGGCTCGGGCTCTCCAATGACACTGATGACCAATCAAACCCAAGAGCTGTTTCCGGAGCAAGCATAGGCCTGTCTGCATCTGAATGGGTGACGCCAGCTGGGGAGACCCTTGTCACCAACCGTGGAGGGAGTCACCAGGGTAGGCTGTAAGCCTGGAGGCAGAGTGCAGCTGCCATCAGCAGGGTCCAACACCTTCCACACAGGGCTTGCAGCCAGGTTCCCTAAAATGCCATCCATGTACAGTGCTGCTTTTCTTTTTTTTAAAGATGACTGGTAAGGGGATCTTAACCCTTGACTTGGTGTTGTCAGCACCACGCTCTCCCAAGTGAGCCATGGGCCGGCCCTTGCACAGTGCTTCTGAAGACCGGCAGCAGAGGCTACAGAGCTAAGTTCAGACCTCCCCAGAGCAGAACTTCTGGGGCCGAGGAGACCTGCAGCTCTCAATTAAAACCCTGCAGGCTACACCTGAGCAGCAGGGATGAACCTGAAACTTGGCCCCCACTCTGGAAGACGGCGTCACCCAAGCCTCTGCGGGACTTTTAAGCACAGTGCTCAGCACGTGACAGAAAATCAGCAGACATGTGAGGAGGCACAGGTCAGAAGCCAAGCACACTTCAGGCAGGGCGAGTGCACACGGGCCTGCTGGACAGCAAAGGCACCCTCCGTGCAGGGCCGGACAGCTCTGACACCAGGAGGAGTGTCACTCCTCCTCCTTCATTCTCCATCTTACTCAAGTATTGAGTAACTCCCAACCTTGGTCCCCTGTGGCTGACATACAGAGGGGTCTTTAGAGGAACAGGGACCCAGGCCTGCCCCCCCACGTGCACCGCCTGACAGTGAAGACAGAAAGGGCCTCCTGCTTCCAGACTGCAGGGCCCTGAGCCCGCCCCAGCCACACACATTACTGAGGACACAGACCACAGCCTGTGTGTCACCAGCTCTCAGGACAAGGCAGGCAGGAGCAGGACTGGGGCAGGAGGGGAAGAACGGGGCAGAGGAGAGGCCTGCGGGGCAGCAATGGCAACACCATGGAGGACGTCCGCATGTGAGGACAGAAGGTGAACGAGCAGTGACATCAGCCCAAGAAGCACTGGCTGATGGTACGAGACACTGGAATGAAGCGATGGGACAGATGTGCGGGAAGTGACCACCGTGCACACCCAGACACCACCTGCCTTGGTCACTAGGACTTGAGACCTAGGAACCTTCTGAAACACAACCAGGCACCTGGCATGCGAGCAGATCCACTGATCAATGATGGCCACGCCTCCGTCTTTGTAGAGTTCCAGCTCTTCCCAAGTGGGTTCGAACCTCACCATTTCGGGTAACAGTTTTTTCAGCTCTTCATATTCTGCAAAATAGAAGGAGGGGCCATGGACCCTCGGGGCGAGCACGTCTGCTGCTGGGTCCGTGGGGACTGGCGAGAGGGTGAGGACCTACAGCTCAGCCCCACCCTCCCAGGAACCACAGCGAGGGTGACTGCATGCTGGGTCTGCCCAGACACTAGCCAGGGCTCAAAATGAGAGAAGAGAACGTCACTGGCCAACGCTCATACCCTCTCTGATGGCATCCGTGGCCACAAACACCTTGTCCAGCTGGTGCATCTCCATGAGACTGCGGATCTTCCTCACGGCCCCTTCTAGACTGGGCACATCCTCCCTGTGCCCCCAGATAAAATCTTTTCTTCTCAGGTGGACTCCGAGGTATGGGCCCCCCAGCGAGGAGCCCAGCTGGACCTGGCAGAGAGCAACCAGACATGCTGAGCTGCAAGGGCTCTTGGGAGCTGGGGCTGGGACACAGGACGCGAGAGATGAGCGATTCCTTGCAGCATCCCCCATGGTGTCGCCTCCGGGTCTGTCTGCAGATTCTCAGGTGGAATCTCAGGGGAAGTGGATGTCTTTTTAAGAAGACCATAAAGTGATTAATTACCACTGACCCTTCTGTCAGTGTGAAATAAAAATAGTAAATAAAACACTGGGAAAAAAACAAATATGAAAAAAAAAGAAAAACCTTTTATTTAACTTTTTTCCAGTAAAGACTGTCCCAGTGACTTAATTGCTTCTGGGATGATGCCATGCCAGGTGGCAACAGCCCAATGTCCCATCAAAGAGCAAACAGGCAACACGGTTTTCCTCTCTACAAAATATCTGCTGTTAAAAACAACACTAAAAAGAGATACTGAGAATGCTTAAAAATAACATCGATTTGAAAAGCAACATATTTGTTGAAATTATGTTACAGAAAAACCCAAACTTTCAGAAAAAAAAAAATTTTTTTTTTCCTTTTTGTCTTTTTTCATGACCGGCAATGGATCGCAACCCTCAGTGTCGCGCCCGGAACCGGACCGGGACCGGCAACGGGATCGCAACCCTTGGTGTTGCTCCCGCACCTCGCTCAGCCAGTGAGCAGCCGGTCTGTATGTGGGATCGGAACCCTCGGCAGGAGCGCCACCGCGCTTCCCAAGCGGCGCACTGTAGCAGTGCGCCACCGGGCCGGCCCTCAGAAAAAATTTTTAAAAATATACATATAAAATAAAAAAGATGACATTAGACCAAAATGGTATTAATGGTGCTTTCGCGTGGCTTGAGGGTGAATCCTATTTTCTCTTTATTGCTCATGCAGTGTAAGAGCAGCACTGCCAGGGCCACTGACTGCCAGCCTGCACTTTACTCTAAGAACAATGTTCTGGGCTGCTGTACCTGCAATGATTTCCCCGTTTTACTAAAGAGCAACTTCCCTAAGTTTGCACCAAGACGAGGGCATTGAAGTCCCTCCCGGTGCCCAGGTAACTACAGTAACCCACACCCTGGAGAAAAGCCCAAGCATTGACACGACAGACAAACACGCCAACCCCGTCCTGACTTTTTTAATTTAAGGGATGAGTTTCTGGGCATCTAAAGAGATAATTCGCATTCTCTCTGACTGACAAAGGTGGAGCCCCTACCTTCATCTTGGTCCAGTCCTCCTCAAAGGGGATCCTGTCTGTGGCGTCGGTGGAGTTGAGGTGCCTGCCTCGGAAGGCATCTCCCACGGCCCGCAGGTGCCGGGCGAACACCATGCTCCGCCGTGTCTGGGCAAACAGCTGAGCTCAGCACCCGCCAGGCTCAGGGACGGGTGGGCGGGATTCCCCTGAGCCAACCCATGCAGGAGCCGCGTGTGGCACAGTAGTCCCCCAACCCACCCCTCTGCAGGGTCTTCTTCACCTCTCACTGCCCACCCGCCATTCCTGCCACCTGCAAGCAGCCTCAGACATGTCCCCCACTGAAGTCACCGGAGAGTCAGAACTGTCAGCCCCAGAGACTCTCAGCAAAGACTCACGTCCCAGTACTCCTTTCCTCCATAGTGGTCGTGGAGCAGGTTCTCGGCTCTGTCTAACATCACGGACCTATTTTTAAACAACAGAAAAATAGACTTTAACGACGACAAGAGTTAGAAATGATTAATTCACATTCTCT